TGAGTGGTCAGAACCTATATATTTTGGAAGATTATTTATTGTCAGTGCTCTGCTGTGGTCTTTTTTGGCTTGAAACAAATAGGGTGAAATTGATCGATTACCTTATCCAATTGCTGAAGAAGGTAGTAATGATTTTCTGAGCTTTCAGAATGCAATCAAGCAGGCTGTCAACTTGAACTGTGATGCTTTGCTGGAGAACCAGCAAAATGGTATTTAAGGACATTCCATTGAACTTGCGCATATATCACATGTAGGTACTGAAGTACAGATAACGTTGTAAAAATATATTGATCCCTAGACAAAGTCCCTTTTTTCAATATTTCTTGTCCCGCAGAAACTGATGCTTGGACATTCGAGTGCAAAGTTCAGGGAGCTGTTCTACAGCTATATCATGACAGTTCGTTATCTTCTGAGGCTTCAATTTGAAAATATGCGTTACTTTTGTATATTCATTTTGAATATGTGCGTCCTGAATTAATTGATACACATGTTAGAGAGATAACGCATCAATTCTAGTTATAGTGGACAATCCAGTTCTTCTCAACTATGGTCATTGTATTCAAAGGTTTACTTGGTCAGCCTCTAGAACATATTCAATGCTGACGAATAGATAGAATGAGAATGCACAAAGCAACAAGTGCTTTTGATCAACAGAAGAGTGGGCAACTTCTGAAAGGTACTCAAGGTCAGTATTGGTGAAATGAAAGTAGGACCACATCCATGGAACTCTATTCTTATTCCTTTCCTATATTTTTTTATTCCTTTCCTATATGTTCGACGCGATTCTGAAAGAATATACTGGCATGCCTCCAAAAGACTCTTGCCTAAGGCGGGGTTCTTGGGATGAAATTATATGTTTGCAAGACTAGGGCCCAAAGATGAATAAATCGCGGTTAAAAGTGTGCTTTAAACGTCAAAAAATAATAAAAATAACAATATGTTAAAAAGAGTCTGTCTAACAGGTGGTTTTTTTTTTTTTTCCTTGTATACGATAAATTCTATTCTACACCTACTCTTACTCTATACTAACGGGTGCTCTTTTATGTGTCATATTTTTTAAAATATAACATTAATTAAGAAAAGTAAATAAATACAAGAGACAGTAGATAATATTAAATAGGGAAAGTATATAAATCTAAAAGGGATAATAATTGTTAGTGAAGTATGAGATTTACAGTTATCAATCCAAAACTTATAATTCGAAACTCAGAAAATGGTACTAACTATATGAGTCGAGCTTGAGCTTGTTAAAACTCGGATCAGATGGCTCGATTGACAATCCTAATTACTTGTCACCCATAGTGCCAATCAATATAATTACAACTAATTTTCACCCATAACCACCCACAAGCTTTGTAACCATCAAGTTAACTAAAAATTCTATTCAAAAACTTTTGAAAGATCAAAGTTTACATTTTTTTAAAGAAAATTTTATATTAAATTCTTTCATATAAAAAATTGATTACACACACATCCAATGCACCTTTATCGCTAGTTACAAAATAACCTACGGATTGTAGGATTGATGCTTTAGACTAAATTATAGTATATATTTAAGAGTTTTTCCGTAAGGAGTGGTTATTACGTACTTAATTTATGAATTAATCTTCTATACACTTTTACTATTGAGTGCATGACACATAATTCGAATTTGAATTTGAAATCCAAATTTTGCACATATGTCGTGCATCCAACCGTTATAGTGTATACCCTGTCAGTGTATACAAGATTTATTTTTAATTTATACTAAAATTATTATATGCGTGCAGCCTTACATTCACACTATCTTTTCCTAGTTTTCTTGTATTTAAGCTTTTTTCCTATTTAACTTTTTTTAAAAAAAACCTATACGCGTTGCTCCATTTACTAAGAGTCAAAAGACGCATTATAATTTATAACCTTTTCTAAGTTCTCACGTCGAAGCAATAACCAATTGTGCATATTGAAGTGAAATGAACCCAAAAATCAACATTCAACTAATTACGTTGCACATAAGACATCAATATTCGACCGGGATTATAAATGCCAAATGAGTTAGAAAATACTACTCTCTCTATCCCAATATTAGAATCATTTTTTGGGAATCCAACTTTTTACGGAGACATAGTAATCATTATACTTAGATGATGAGGCATTGATGAATTTACATATATATCATTTGAATTCAAAATATTCTCTTGATAGATGTGTATTGAGATTTTAAAAAAGTTATTTTTTCAAATTGTAAGATTAGAAAATATGTGTTAAATTTGAAACGGTAACACTTATTTTAAAATATCAATACAGTAAAAATACGACAATAATAATGAGACGGAGGTATACTAGCTGAGCCTCTGTATAAAGGAGTAGATCCAAGCAAGCACTTAAATGCCATGCGACAAAAGAATTGCGCGACATTTAATCCCCTTTAGATCTGTCTCCGCACGTTAATGAGCAGAGGCTGCAAGCTTTTGTCTCGGCTTTTTGGGTTCGATTGATTGAATGGCGTGATTAGACATGGGAGAGCGTCGGGAGCCTTACGCTGTGGTCGGTGGAGACATGGAGGAATGAAATGCGGAGGGTAATTACTAGTAATCAGGAACTTTGCGTCGTTTCAACGGTATGCAGTGAAGGTTGTTGCTAGTCCATGCCATGGTCATGTACTCAACTTCAAGGCTTCTGCCAAATTGGCAATGCTCATTACATATAATAAATGTTATTTAGTCTAAAGCATTAATCCTACAATCCGTAGGTTAATTTGTAACTAGCGATAATGGTGCACTGGATGTGTGTGTGATTTAGGAACGATCACTTTTTATATGAAAGAATTTAGTATAAAATTTTTATAAATAAAAAAGTAAACTTTGATCTTTTAAAAATGTTTTGAATAGAATTTTAGTTAACTTGACGGTTACGATGTTTTGTGATTGGTTATGGATCAAAGTTAGTTGTGATTGATTACTTTGGTTGGTTAGCAATAGGGGTGACAAGTAATTAGGCTCGTCAATCGGACTATTTGATCCGAGTTTTAACAAATTCAGACTCGACTTATATAGTTAGTACCACTTTCTGAGTTTCGAGTTATGAGTTTTTGATTGATAAATGTAAATCTCATATTTCGCTAATAATTATTATCCTCCTTGGATTTATATATTTTCTTTATTTAATCTTATTTACCGTCTCTTGTATTTATTTACTTTTCTTAATTAATTTTATCTTTTTATCTGATATACATCACATTAAAAAAAGTTACAATATTAGTATTTTTTTCAAAAAATTATCTCAAATAATCTACTGTCCAAACACACTAGACTCCTTAAAGTATTAAAGTTGTCCATTTAAGATAGAATCTATCCCATTCTAGTTTCAAAATTATTGAGCTTTTTATACTTTGGTTCTTTAAGTAATACTTAAATGGGGCAGAATTTATAGTTTAGAGACAAAAGTGAAACATACTTTATATTTTATATTTTAGGATCTAAAATGTCCTATTTTAAAATTCAGAGAACAAAGTGAAAATTCTGATATAATTAAAGGGTGCAAAGTAGAATTATCCCTTGATCCGAAGACTTTAATGTTTCATACCGAATTGACCCAAAATAGTCAAGGGGCCACACTCGAAACTTCTCAATACGCACCAAAATAGTCAAGGGGCCGCACTCAATATGCACAAATGGTTATTATTGCTTTGACGCGAGAACTTAGAATGGTTATAAATTATAATGCGTCTTTTGACCCTTGGTAAATGGAGCAACGCGTATTCTTTTTCAAAAATCAAATGGGAAAAATCAACGCGTATAGGTTTTTTTTTTTTTTTTTTTTTTAAAGTTAAATGGAAAAATGCTGTTTTTCAAAGATAGTGAATGTAAGGCTGCACGCATTTTAGTATAAATTAAGTGCACTAATAAGCACTCCTTACGGAAAAACTCTTAAATATATACTATAATCGTATGTGTATCGCTTTTCTTCCTCAAAATAAGTTTAAACCACGTTTGCATGAGAAGACCACACATGTATAATTGAAGAAAAATCATAAAAAGATTTTACCTGAGGTATATTATAGATTAATCCTAATAATTATCCTGGATAGATGGGACCTCTTCTTTCTACTTTGCGGACAAAAAAATGGGGGAGTATTATAAACCTCTCGTGAGGTTTCTTTTAATAACACTCAGTACTCTTAAAGTTTTAAAAATATCACTCAACTTCTTTAAAATTTGCAAAATAGTTGTATTAATCCTAGCTTCATACATAACATGCGTATCAAACAAATGGAATTAAAAAAAATTAAAGAAAAAGAAACAAAAGTTACTTTATTTCTTCCCTCTTTTTTTAACACTCTATCTTGTCCATTTTCTTGAATGACTATGCGATTTTTTTTTTTTTTTGGTAAATTATCACAAACTCGATTATGTTTTTTTGGAGTGATTATGGTTGAGTGTATTACATATTTTGATTTCATTCTGTACTGATTCAGTACAACATAAAAACATAAGTGACGGGGGTTAAGAAGAAGTTGGAAAAAATAGGATTTATAAAAAATTGGTTTTAATCATATAAAGTTGAATTGATGCTAATGTATTTCTTTACAAGTATTTTTTTTATTTTTTCAAATTTATATGTTTAGAACTACTAATACTTTGTGATGTGGTGGCATTACATAAGATTATATTTGAAGTGGTGATTTTTTAATGAAACAATCAAAGTGGCTTAACAGTTTTTTTGTTCAGCGAAAGCACCAAAAGTGTAGTTTAGGGGTTTCAAAAATTTTGCCAAATAAATAGCAAAAATAAAGGAGGTAAATGATATTTCTAAAAGAGTAAATCTTATAAGGAGTAAAATCTCAAAAGTACTGCATGTTATTTATTAAGAGAAACATCAAAGGAGGTTTCTGATATTTTCCCCCAAAAAAAAATCAGAAAGTTAAATCTTCATGGTGGTTGACTGACTGGCTCAAAAAGGACAGCAGAATGTTTGGTTTGCTTGAAATTGAATGTGACATTACTATTCACTATAGCACCTCCCCTGGTGACTGGTGAGAGGGGAAGAAGAAGATCTATAATTTGTACCGCGGGAGTGCGGGTTTCCTACCACCAACCTGTTTTAATTGGCAGTTAAAAACGATTCCCCCGCGATTATTTTCCCCTCTCTATAAATACCGAAGCTGCTGCTCTCCGTTTCGTCCTAGCTGCCCAAAGCTACATTTCTCTCCTTATTTCCCTCGCTTTCATCTCTCTTATTTTCCTTCTCTACCAGGTAATCTATCTATCTATCTATCTATCTATGTATCCGTAATTCTAATCTATCCAGAATCCTCTCAGATCTTGTCTTCTGCAATCCTTTACGGTTAATTTGATAATTGATCTTGTGGTTTCCTTCGCTCTTTGCTCCACCGTCTTCACATTTGCTTATTTTAAAGTTCTGGTGTTTTTTTGTTATGATGTTTTTTAGTTTAGGATTGAAATTCTGTATTATTGCCTTTAGTGCTCAGAATTGTATATTGATCTGGTTGATAATTCGTTAGGCTTGATTGAGTTTTTGAGTTTTTCTTGCATTAGTTTTGTTAGATAGATCTTGTGGTAAAGTGTTTGTCTTCCTTGTTAAATGTAAATTTCTGTTGCTTGTTTCGCGAAGAATCATGATTTTATGCGCAAATTGTGGTTACATTTGGTTAGATTTTGCTGAATTTTGATTTTATGGTAATATACACGTATGTGAGCTTGACAAATAGGTTTCAGCGGATAATAGTTAAATTCTGTAGATCTTGTCTTGCAGTTTGATTAAATTGAATCTTTTTTCCCCCTCCACAATAGTTGTAGCTCTGTAATTGGCTTTGTAACATTGCTGATTAAACAACTAAATTGCTTCCTTACGATGGGAATTTTGGATTTTTTCCATGCCATGCATGATCTGCTTGATCTGTTCTTGATCTCAACAAATAGACAATGCTTTCACCAAAGTTTGAATTTTGTTAGGGTAGATACATTTAGTTTTCTTTGATTTGTCTAGCATGCCTTCTTATTTTATATAAACCACATTTTTTTTTTTCATTGGTTTTCTAGAAAGTCATTCTGCAATTAAAAAAAAAGATTTTATATCGACTTTCAGGTCAGCAGTTAGATCTTGTTTTAGCTGAAAGATAACATTTGATGATTTCAGTGCTCAATGTCCTTTTTGCTAAAGGCTCCTCTTTTGCTACAATCACACTGCGTAAACCTTTATCTGTCAAAGAAGGCGGGCAAAAATGCTTTTCTCTTTACATCCTGCATAACTTAAAGAAGTGTCAAAAGAATGGTAATGTACGTGTATATTTACACCCTGAGTCATTTGTTGTAGTTTATATCTTGAATGTGAGATGTCCTTGGGGACCTTGGGGGGCAGTAAGAAGTTGAAGAAAAATCTTCTAATAGTAGATTCATGAAGAAGGCTTGTAAAGATTGGATTTATTTGTCGGAAATTGTTGGATCCAAAAATAGAAAAATTGGTCTTACACCTAAGTAACAGGTGTACTTGTTTAGGTTGTTTGAAGTCTAATTTCTGTTTCCCTTTGTCTTGTCACTTGAAGAAGATCACTTGAAAAACTTTTGAAGATATTCAGTGGGAGGTTTTTATCTTGTCCTCTTAAACTGATTAAAGTGTAGTGTGGATAGTAATTATCAGATATGGGTAGTCTATGTCACAGGATGCTTGTGTTCTGGAATTTGGTGCAACCAGCTATTGGCTTTGAACTAGATTGCACTATAGGCACGCACCTATTATATTGCACCTATTATATTATAATCTTGTTTTCAGCTGTCAATGATATATGACTATATGAAACCTGTATTCCTAAAATTTTTGAGTTATTCTGAGGTTTTAAACTATTGTTACCTTATGTTGATGTTTGGTGCTCTTGCAGAGCTTTGGTTGGTGCTCATGGGGACTGTTCTTGATGCTGCCAGCAAGGTATATTTGCTGATCCATTTTGCACTATCAATTCTTACTGTTGCCCAAACTGCTATAACCCTCATATGATAGTCTTGTCAAGCAAAGAATTCGAGAATGCTTGAACTGATGTACTTAGAGTAACCTATGAAATGCAATTAGTTCTTTACTGGTCAAAAGTTGTTCTTATTGAAATTATCCTGTTTCAGAAAGTTTGATGTCATGGTCAGAAATGACCGTTCTAGAGGCAAGAAACCAGAAATACCCCCTCACTTATTTGGCCATGTGTCTTGTTTAACATGTGATCTTTTATTTTAGGATGCAAATGGAAGTCTGTTGACTGACAAAAAGGTTACAGTTGTTTTTGTCTTGGGTAAGTGCAGTTCTCTTGCTTTAGTTCTTTATAGATAGACAATTATGTTTTATCCTTGCATTTCCAAAAATTAGTGAAATTGGATGCTTGGCTTTATTATCTCAGTGCTTTTGGTTCTATCTTTTTAATAATTTCAATAATGGATGTTAATACCTCCTATAATTATAAAATAAACAGGTGGCCCAGGTAGTGGCAAGGGAACCCAGTGTGCTAACATTGTCGAGCATTATGGATACACCCACCTTAGTGCTGGTGATCTCCTTAGAGCAGAAATAAAATCTGGTTCGGAAAATGGGTAAAATCTCTGCTCACCATTTATAGCTGTTACTGAAACTCCACAGGCTATGAATATTCTCTCTTTATATGTGCTTTTTCTCTTGGTTCCTGGAAGCAAAATGTACAGATTTTGCTTCATTTGACATGGCTATGACTGTGTTTTGCTCACCTAAAGGATACTCTTGACATGGATATGACTGTGTGGTGGTCATCTGGAGGATATACTCTTGATGCGTACAACTTTACTGATGACATAGATAACTGGTTGTACAACATCTATAAGAAATTCTTGACATGTACTTGCTTTTTATAGATTTTTCTCATTTGATCATTGATAAGGGAGATTCAAAAGTTTGTGCAACTGTCTTACTACTATTTCTATCTAGATAGAAAACCATTTAGTCAAAATTGCACAATTCACTTTAAGACAAGAATGGTGTGTCTTAGTTGTTAAGTGACTGGAGTTGCTTAGAGGACCAACATAATTCATTCTCCGAGGTTGTTTAGTAGTAAATATCTCGCTTTAATCTGAATATCACAATCTCGATTTGTAAGTTTTATAATCCCTGGGCATGTACAAACATCTTTATTTCTTTACTATATTTGAGCATTTAATTCTTGGGGATTGTAAAGGTGGAAATTATCCTTTTTTCTTTTTGTTGCATATAAATCTGCCATTTTATGGAGACCTTTATTATCACTCATATTGTATCATCTATGGCCCTTGAACATACTGATTTTTGTCTTTAATCGCTTTTTACCTTTTAAAGTCTTATGTGATTTTGATTTTTATACTCATCTACTATATAGGACAATGATTCAGAACATGATTAAGGAGGGCAAAATAGTGCCTTCTGAGGTGACAATTAAGCTTCTCCAACGAGCCATGAATGCAAGTGGCAATGACAAGTTCCTAATTGATGGTTTCCCTCGTAATGAGGAAAACCGTGCAGCCTTTGAGTTAGTTGTAAGTTTTCTGTTATACCTTCCCTTTAAATTCATTTCATTAGTTCAGTGGACCAAATCATTGCATTTCCCACTGTTTCCTGTTGATTGTTACCTGCACTGGGAGTTTTAGACCAGTATATGTTAAAAGTTAGTGCTGCTTCATTTCTTGTTCTGCAGACTGGAATGGAACCAACATTTGTCCTTTTTTTTGATTGTCCGGAAGAAGAGATGGAAAAGCGTCTTCTGAGTCGAAACCAGGTTAGACTTGCTTTCCATTTGACAACATTGGGTATAATGTCCCCTTGTTCTACTGTCTGAAAACCAGTTAAACCTTATAGTTGCACTCTTACTACTGTCTGAATATACCCTGCTGCATATTTGATTTTGATTTCTGTTTCCATGTGAAGGGAAGAGAAGATGATAACATTGAGACAATAAGGAAGCGTTTTAGGGTTTTCATGGAATCCAGTCTTCCTGTAATTGAATACTACAACTCTAAAGGGAAGGTTCGGAAGGTAATACTTTTTATATACTTCAATTTTCCATTTTCACTAAGTCTTTTTGTTCACTAAAGAAGAGGTCGAGCATAATTGGTAACTTGAAGGTTCTCTGATGTGCAGATTGATGCTGCAAAGCCTGTGGAAGAAGTATTTGGAGCTGTTAAAGAAGTTTTCACCCCATCCAATGTTGAGGTAATGCATTATAGAAACTTCCTATGCTCCATCCTATAGAAAGGGGACAAAAACCTGAATGTGTGCTGCCAAATTATGGTTGTAACTATGTTGTGTATTTGCAGAATGATAGTAAAATCAGCCTTATTTTATATAGAATGTAAATGGGAGTGCATAATATCTTTCAGCTTAGAAAGTTACAGCAATTCTATTAAAAATTAATCATCATCATATATTTGAAACTATCATCGTATTTACATTGAGCTTGTGTTTTTTTCTGCTGGCTTGAGGATTCAGTTGCAAATTATTGACATTGCAGCCATAGGGGTATGGATCATTGATAATTACCAAAAACATAAACAAAAAAAAAAAACTAAAAGAAGAAGAAGAAGATATGGAAGAAAAGCTATTTGATCATTGAAAGAATTGATCATCGCAAAATGGCAAATAAGATCAAAGCAATTAGTACTGTTCAAAAAGGATTGTTATTCACACTCCTTCCAATTCTTTTCTGGGTTGTGTGTGCGAGTTGGCTCCCCATATTTCCAGAAACAGGAAATGAAAGTTTAAAGTTGGCTTCTAATTTTGCCACCTAGAGGACATAAGTATGAACACTGGCGTGAGATTTAAATGATAAACTGACACCCAAAAAAAAAAAAAAGCGTTCTTCTTTGGTTCTTGGTTTGCTGTTTGAGACAGATTATTTTAGGCAAAACAGTCTCTGTACATTGCATAAGAATTTTGATGCAGCTTTCAGGCAGTGAATACTAAGAGAATAAATGTTGCCTTTATCTATTTCCTTGAGCTCACAAACTTTTAAGGTTTTGTTGAGCTATCAGAGTCAATCCTGTCCTCATAGAAAGGATTTGCTTCCTAGTGACTGATGCATGAAAGTGTTAATATATGCTTTAATGTATGTTTTTTAAGTAAATGCTTTTGGTTGAAGACTTTTTTTTTTATCAGTAGAAAACCTCTCCAATGAAAACTTCTGAAAGGGAGGCTAGAAGTTTTGTGTGTGATTTTGTACTTTTAGCACAATAATTCAGTTTTGACGCTGTTGCTCTTCGCAAAACAAATTAGTCAAGTAAATGTAATATTTGTGATGACCTTAGATTGCCTAATTTTCAGTCAGTTTTCCCTTCTGGGAACTAATTCTGAAGAATTTGTGGTGCAGGTTGCCGCCTAGGATAACATGTAACATACAGTACCCGAGATTCCTGTTATGGTAATATATTCAGTACTTACTCTTCTGATGCCATCTTTAGAATGGTAGTCTAATTGGTTTTTACATGCATCTGCACTATAATATATCATTCTTTAGAAATTAATAGAGTTTGGATGGCATGATGGAATTTGTTCATCAGCCATATTTGCTTCAAGTTAATGCTTCACTGATTGCACTTTTTACTCAACAGGTATAATGTTATTGGCGGCATAATTTCTTAGCATGTCAGCAAGTGGATTTGCGGCTATACTTGTTACTCCACTAGAAAATTTGTGTTTTCTTGATTTTTTATTATTTAGAAGTGAGGTTATGGCTTCCATGAGTAGGATGCCTCCGTAATGTCATATGAAGAGAATTTTTTTTGATAATAAGATCATCTCAAGTTTTTATGATTAATTGTTTCCCTTTCCCTCTAATCTCTATACAGTCTCAATGATGTGGTGCAGCGGAACTGCAGAAGTATAAAAAACTTTCTCCTTCTGTTGTTGTTAGACTACTATTGGATAAGATTTTATTCTTATCAATTTATTCTATTCTTTTTATGTATCCTCCGTTGTAGTTGCTTTGCCCCTTTTGTACGTCCAACCTCGAAATGGATGTCAAATAAAGCCATATCATGTTCTTTGAATTCCTCGAATTATAAAAACCAAGCACCCTGAAGCAAAGAATAAAGGACAAAATGCGAATTTGAATTTCAGACCCTGAAGAGGCATACAAGTAGTCCAGCACTCTCGCTCCAGCAATAATACTCTGAAGCCTGAATCACATTCTTCTAAGCTTCCAAGCTTGAATGTCCATTTTCTTGTTTACATTTCTCCTGTTGGGCTGCCACAACAAGAAGGCATCTGGTAAAGACCTCTGCCTCTACACAATGTTTTCATCAGTCATCACACCATCGGCTGAAAAACTATAACGCCCAGACATCCTCCTGTGATTTCTTTTGCAATGCATAAGGTGGGAAGAAAACTTCCTCTTCTATGTAAAACTAGAAAACTTGATGAAAGAAATCTTTTCTTCATCATTCCATAGCAAGGTTGTAGCCTGCAATATAAACAATCAGAGGAAGAGGTACAATAAGAATGGCAGCAGGTTTCCAAATCAAAGCAAGGTACATCCTGGATGCTGCATTTTGTCATACACTAATTCTACTCCCTCGTCACGTTCTAGTAAACATTCTTCCGTATTTCGTATGCCTTTACAGTACTTCAAGCCACGGTAGAAAGAAGTTACATTCTGCGGAGATGGTGGAGCAGTAGCGGGAAAGGCCAAGAAGCTGCAGCAAATGTCTAGACAAAAATAATACCATTCTCCTGGATGGTATCAAGAATAATTGCAAGTCTGCCTTCAATCCGCTGGTTTTTGTCAGGTTCATAGGCAATTGCAAAGACATCAGCTTCTTTTGACCGTTCTGCAATAAGTTTCCCAATTACTCTGCAAGCATTGTTGTCAGTAAGAGACGGTAATGTGTTCCGAAGATCCTTGGCATTGGTTGTTGCCACAGATATCACCTTGCTGGTTCCCCTATGCATCACTTTAGCATGGATAAATCGTTTTGAGAAGAAAACATTGAGTAGAAATGGTCTCATGTACATGTCTGTCCGTTGTTTCCATGATTTTCTGTTAGGCTTTTTGGCTGCTTCACTTCGAGATCTCCGAGTCCAGGCAGCTTCAACAACAAAAGTCTAAAACATGTTGAAATAAATGTACATTACTTAAAAAAGCATTTGTTGCTTCACTACTGAGCCCATCATTTCTCATTTGAAGATTACATCTAAAGTGTGAACTACGATGCATCAGAGGCAAACCGAAACTCTGCACTGGACACCCTAATTCAGACTATATTATTACCCTGAAAGTTTGTGCAACAACTAAAATGTACTTTCACTATGTGACATACACACTACCCCTTTAGGAAGAGAACGATTTTCAGTAAGGGTGCTGATAATTTCCCAACAAGCTTTCAATTCACAGTCGAATCATGTATAATCAGCCAAATGCAAATGAAATCTGCAGCCCGTCTAATGTGTAGTCACATTACCTGCATACTAACACTACACGTATTATCATTGGAAGACTGAAGATTCTCTAAAAAGTTGCACCATATATCCTCTGCAACCTAATTTATCTAGTCATTAATTCAACAACAGGGTCATTTAGAAAAGCAATTTTCCTCCAGATACTTGACCAAGGTATGTTTTAACAATAATGATGATAATAATATACAAATAAACATAAATCACCTGTATATGCAATCTTAACCAAGTGCTTTCGGGCCCTTAACGTCTCACCCAGCAATAACTTTTCACAAATAAAAATTCAACAGAGAAACTATAATTCTTAAAGCATAACATTTCCCCAAAGATAAGTTCTTTAATCTTTCAGATTCAATTATTTCAGCAAAGAACTGGTGGATGTGCTTCTCCTGCACGTTACTTTGTTCATCTTTTATATTTTCGTCTTTAAGAAACTAAAATTGACAATTCCTGATGCACATGATAGTCTCAGACGACAATGTTTCAGCAAATTCAAGCATCTTTTCAGGATATTAAATGAATCGAGCACTAAAAAAGCTCCAAGAAATGAATTTTACAGCACGAAGCGGAAAAAGAAAGAGCTTTGGAAAATGGGATTTATCCAAACCTGCTTATGAAGGAGATTCAAAGGGCTTGACGGGGAAGTAGTAGTGATGGAAAGATTCAGCTTTGGTAGAGAAGAAGACCATGACAGTGAAGCGCGATTTTCTTTTCCTGTTGAAATAAATTGAGAGGAGAGAGTGAAAGATAAAGTGGCTTTTGAAGAAATGAGAGCAGACATCTCTCAACAAATGCTATGGTAGACATGACCAGAAGTTTGGGAGTAGATATATAAGATACTTTAGACAGTTGGGTTCATCTGTAAATATTTCTCCATCAGTGACCCGAAATGAAATAGAAGTTCATCATTCGGGCCATCAACTAGCAAGGCCAGTTCCCAGGTACTGTTCTTTATGGCCTTGGGGGCTTTTGGGCTCAATCTTAAATTGGGCTTTTGGGACTGTACCAGCAAGGCCAAGTTGAAGTTTGAGTCTTTGGCAAGGTGTACTGGAGGATATTTTTTTTTCATTATATATATATATATATTTTTATTATACGTGGAAGGTTTCGAATTCGAAACCTCTCATTTATACTCCCTCCTCCGTATCACCCTACTTCGAATCCTCAGTCCTCTTGAGAAGCCCCCTTACCAAGTCTCATCATAAAATTTTGACATGCATAACAAGTCACGTGATATTACTTATCCTATTTATTAACATTTCAAATACGACTTGTCTCTTGTTCCGGAGATTACTAAATAATTAACGAAAAATCACATGAAACAAAATTCTATAAACCCTAAATTGGTGTTACCCAACCCATTCCTCAGGTGTACCAAAGGACTTAGCAATTGGTTGAGTAGGTACATGGCATTGAAATTGCATTGTCGGGCTTCTCTTTCCCTACTCTAAAAAGTTTAGAGTGTTGTGAAACTAATAAAATAAACTACCAAAAGTAGGGATTGGAATAGTAGAGTGAGAAGCAGAGAGAGATAAAAGAACTATAGTATTATTCTATTCACTGATCAAAGTACTTCCAGGTTACAAATAAAGTAGGATTCATCCCTATATATAGGTAATCCAAGATCAAATGTACATGAACCCTATTAAATACTAATACATGAATTTAGTACTTCAAGTACATCCATAAATAGGTTCATCCAATGTACCAATGATGAACCTGGAGAGAATACATGTATCTTCTTTCTTGAGAATATAAATGGACATCCACATCTTATAATTATTTCATAACATAGAGTATTTTTTAAATGGAAAAAATTAGATTCTTGATGATAATGAACCACACACTCGATTCCACAAGCAGAAATCGTGTTTAAGAACAGGGATGTTATAGAAGTATTGAGATGTGACTAGGAATATAATTAAATGAATTATTTTGGAATGAAGAAACTCGAGTATCGTTGGTTCTATCTAGCATCGAATCATATAGATGCTATCACAGCATAATACTTTTCATGTATGTCGCAACTTCCTTCACGCCACGAAAAAAAGGAAAAAAAAACAATGTGGCTATGATTCCATTTGTGAAAATGTAAAGCAAAACAACCTTCTTAAATTCCCAAAGAGATAGGAAAATTGTTAAGAGAAAATAAAACATTTTCTACTCAGTTTCAATGAGAAATGTCATATGACTCGTATGTCGTATCCCATGGTTTTTCGAGAGCTCACTCACTTTTTACGCACCTTAGCCCCTTGAAACATACAGGCTACTATTTCATCTAAATACCAAAGGGAAAAAAAAAGAAGAAAAATGGATAAAGATGGTTGTCATGTCATTCATAGAAGATCATGTATTTCACGCGGATGGGCCTTACAAGTTCTATTTCCCACAAATTTGTCCTTTAGTATAATTGAATTGAAAAATAATATAACAAAAATTTAAATATAGTGTAACCGAGTCAAAAAATAATGTAATAAAAATATAAAATTACTAATTCACCTCGAAATGGAGTAAAATATATAATTTGTCAGGCCTCGGATCATTTTTTTTTTTTGAAAAAATAAAATGAATCTCGACAGATTTTAACAGTGAAGTAGACTATACAACTCGAGATATCTATTTATTTGGTAGCTTTTGTTTGTATTGATTTATACTACCTTTATAACAAGACAGGCACACTCTCACCTTTCTAATATTTTCTTTTGGTGGTTTGCTTTTTTCGGTATTTGTGAACTTGATAGCTAAGTCGTACAATACTGCTACTAAACTTTGTGAATGGGCGAAGGTTTCACCCAATTGCGAAGGAAAGGATAGGGATAATGAATTATAAATAAAGCAATAATAAAAAATGGAGTACAGTCAGATCAAATATTTTTTTCAAAGAAAAAGCTCTCTTTCTACGTAATTGATATGTAGTTCTTAATTCTTATACGCCTTGAGGCCTCCAAGTTAACCAACAGCCGTCAGGGTTGTTGGCTTCATGCTTCATCTCACAGATTAGGGTTTGAACCTCGCTGTTAAGTTTGGGAGGTAGGGAGGGATTACAGGAGTGACGTAATGATATAAAAAAAAAGGTATCTAATTTTACTCGTTTCTCACAATTTGAGTTAAATATGCATTAACACATTTGTTATAAAATGAAAAAAAAATTGACATACTGGGATTCCTATTAATTTTTTTTTTATGGATGAATGATGATACATCTAAGATAAATAGGTTGATTTTTTTTTTCCAAACAGTAATAGATTAGCACAATATATAGAAAGGGGGTGACATCCATAGTAATATGTTAAGTTTCTTGGTTGTCAATGTATAGGGATTGACTCAATTTGTCAGCTGGTAAGGTTCGTTCACTGTTTGCTCGAGGGACATTTGAATGGGATTCTCACTACGAGCAGTTGCAATTGGTATAGAACACCAAGGTCTTATTCCCAAGTGTGGAATGGTTAAACTTCCAAACATG